CCTGGGGTCAGGAGTTTGAGACCAGCCTGACCAACATGGAGAAACCCCATCTCTACTAAAAATATAAAATTAGCCGGGCTTGGTGGCACACGCCTGTAATCTTTGCTACTAGGGAGGCTGAGGCAGGAGAATTGTTTAAACCTGGGAGGTGGAGGTTGTGGTGAGCCGAGATCATGCCACCACACTCCAGCCTGGGAAATGAGCAAAACTCCGTCCCAACAACAACAAAAAGGAACAGATGGGACAAAAATAGCAAAACTGTATATTTAAATCCAATCACATTAATAATAATTACATTAAATATAAATCATCTAAACATGACAATTAAGAAAATGACTGTCAGGTTAGATTTTAAAAAGACTCAAATTATATGCTGTCAACGAGAAACCCATTTTAAATTAAAAAGTAAAAAGATGAATAGGTTCAGCATGGTGGATCATGCCTGTAATCCTAGCACTTTGGGAGACCCAGGTGTGTTGATAGCTTGAATCCAGGAGTTAGAGACCAGCCTAGGCAACAAAGCAAGACCCTGTCTATACAAAAAAACAAAAAAATTAGCAAGGTGTTGTGGTGCAAGCCTGTAGTCCCAACTACATGAGAGGCTGAGGCAGACGGATAGCTTACAGCCTAGGAGGTCAAGGCTACAGTGAGTTATAACTGCACCACTGGTTATAACCGCACTGCTGGTTATGATTCACTGCAGTCTTGACCTCCTGGACTCTAAGCTGTCCCAGAGCAAGACCCTGTCTCAAAAAAATAAAAATAAAATAAGAAAGTATAAGGATGGAATAAGATATATCATGTGAACTTTAATCAAAATAAAACAGGAGTGGCAACATTAATACCAGATGAAATGGACTATAATCAGACATGAAGAGATACATAACAGTAAAGAAGTCAATTCATCAAGAAGCCATACAATCATACAGAAAACTTCAAAAATGACCAAAAAGGTGGGGGGGGGGACACAAATCTATAATTTAGTTGAAGAATTCAAAACTCTTATTTTGGTAACTGACAGAACAAGCAGAACTTAACCATCACTATCAACCAACTTAACTTGGCTGACATTTATAGAACACTCCACTCAATGACAGCAGATTATACATTCTATTCAAGTGAACGTGGAACATCAACTAGGAGAAACCATTCTTGGACATAAAACAAGTTTGGTAAACTTTAAAAAATGGAAATAATAAAATTAAATTAGAAATCAACAACAGAAAAACATTTGGGAAATCCTCAAATATATGAAACCTAACACACTTCTAAATAACCCATGTAACAAGCAAGAAATCTCAAAGGAAATTAGAAAAAAAAAGTATGTATTATTGAGACAGAGTTTTGCTCTTCTTGCCCAGGCTGGAGTGCAATGATGAGATATTGGCTCACTGCAACCTCTACCTCCCAGGTTCAAGTGATTCTCCTGCCTGAGCCTCCCGAGTAGCTGGGATTACAGGCACGCACCACCATGCCCAGCTAATTTTTTTTATTTTTAGTAGAGACGGGGTTTCATCATGTTGGCCAGCCTGGTTTTGAACTCCCAACCTCAGGTGATCAGCCCACCTCAGCCTCCCAAAGTGCATGGATTACAGGCGTGAGCCACCGCGCCCAGCTGGAAATTAGAAAATATTTTAAACTGGGCTGGGTGTGGTGGCTCACGCCTATAATCCCAGCATTTTGGGAGGCCGAGGTGGGCAGATCACCTGAGATCAGGAGTGCAAGACCAGCCTGGCCAATATGGTGAAACTCTTATCTACTAAAAATAAAAAATTAGCTGGGCATGGTGGTGCATACCTGTAATTTCAGCTACTTGGGAAGCTGAGGCAGGAGAATTACTTGAATCCGGGAGGTGGAGGTTGCAGTGAGCTGGGATCCTGCCATCGTACTCCAGTCTGGGCAATAGAGTGAGACGCTGTCTCAAAAAAAAAAGAAAAAGAAAATATTTTAAACCAAAGGCAAACAAAATCCCAACATATCAAAATGTATGAGATGTAAAAAAGCAACACTCAGCTGGGCATCTGTGGATCATGCCTGTAATCCCAGCACTTTGGGAGACGGAGGGGGGCAGATCATGAGGTCAAGAGATTGAGACCATCCTGGCCAACAAGTGAAACCTTGCCTCTACTAAAAATACAAAAATTAGCTGGGCATGGTGGCGCCCGCCTACAGTCCCAGCTACTCCAGAGGCTAAGGCAGGAGAATCTCTTAAACCCAGGAGGTGGAGGTTGCAGTGAGCCAAGATCAAGCCTCTGCATTCCAGCCTGGTAACAGAGTTAAGACTCTGTCCCCCTCCACCCCTCAAAAAAAAGCAACACTCAAAAAGTTTTTAGCTTTGAATTAAAAAAAGGTGGAGGTGGGGCTTAAATAAATAACCTAAGTTTCTAGCTAAAGAATCTGAGGAGCAGGGAAAGCCAAGCACATAATCACGCCTATAATCCCAGCACTTTGGGAAGCTGTAGTGGGAGGGTCATTTGAGCCCAGGAGTTCAAGGCTGGCACCTCTGTACTCCAGAGAGACCATGTCTCAAACCAAAGATACGAAAAGCACAAACCATGAAAGTTTAATAAATCTAAATGAAGGTCGGGCGCAGGTGGCTCATGCCTGTAATTCTAGCACTTTGAGAGGCCAGGGGCAGGCAGATAACTTGAGGTCAGGAGTTCAAGACCAGCCTGGCCAACATAGTGAAACCCCGTCTCTACTCCAAACACAATTAGCTGGGCATGGTAGCACATACCTGTAGTCCCAGCTACTTGGGAGGCTGAGGCAGAATAGCTTGACCACGGGAGGCAGAGGTTGCAGTGAGCTGAGATCATGCCACTGCACTCCAGTCTGGGTGACAGAGGGAGACTCCATCTCAAAAAAAAAAAGTCAGCCCCTATGGTGGCATAGCTACTCTGGAGGCTGAGGCATGAGAATTGCTTGGGCAATAGAGTGAGGCTGTATCTCAAAAAAAAAATTATTTTATAGATTTCCATTAACATACTTTTAAAATTTTTATTTTTTTGAGATAGAATCTCACCCTGTCACCCAGGCTAGGTTGCAATAGCATGATCTTGGCTTACTGCTACCCCTGCTTCCCAAGCTCAAGTGATCTTCCCATCTCAGCCTTCCGAGTAGCTAAGATCACATGCATGCCACCATGGCTGGCTACTTATTTGTATTTTTGGTAGAGACAGGGTTTCACCATGTTGGCCAGGCTGGTCTTGAACTCCTGAGTTCAGATGATTCACCTGCCTTAGCCTTCCAAAGTGCTGGGATTACGAGTGTGAGCCACCACACCCAGCCAACATATTTTATACTTGGCTCTTTTCAGAAATAAACTTTCAAGTCATCAGTACATTATAGATTGAAGTAAGCAACCAGATATAGTGTTTACTACAGCTACAGTTAACTGCTCCAATTTAGACTTTCACCCCACATATGACTGAATTGAGTGCAAAAGTCAAGTGTCAATTCTAAAAAAGTTAGGTATCTGGTACCAAATTAAGGACCCTGATCACTAGTAAAATGGAGCTAGTGCTTCTGTTTCATTACAAAAGATAGCAAGCAAAATAAGGACCTGAAATAATGACAATATAATGAATTCAAAGTAAAACCATTAAAGGACAATAATCCACTCAGTCTTTAAAAAATGTTAAGTAGGCCGGGAATAGTGGCTCGTGCCTGTAATCCCAGGACTTTGGGAGACTGAAGAGGGTGGATCACTTGAGCCCGGGAGTTTGAGACCAGCCTGGACAACATGGTAAAACCCCAGCTCTAAAAAAACTACAAAAATTAGCCAGGCATGCCAAATCATGTGTCTATAGTCCCAGTTACTGGGGAGGCTAAGGTGGGAGGACTGCTTGAGCCCAGGAGGTCGAGGCTGCAGTGACCTGAAATTGTGCAGCCTACGTGACAGAGAACCTGTCTCAAAAAAAAAAGAGAAAAAAAAAATTTTTTTAAGAAAATTAAAAACTGCAGGCAGATATATGTGAGACAAAAGTCCAATACTAATTCACACACATTTTGAAAAGCTACTGAATGAAAATGAAGATCTGTTCTACCCCAAATAGACACACAGGCACATGTTTTTAGGTTGCAGACAGGAAGTGTTGAACTGAGAAAAAGCCGGGGAGAGAAGCAAAGATGGCTTTAGTTGTAGATTGAACTTTTTTTCCCCCCTGGAGACAGAATCTTGCTCTGTCACCCAGGCTGGAGTGTGGTGGCACGATCTTGGCTCACTGCAACCTATGCCTCCCAGGTTCAAGTGATTCTCATGCCTCAGCCTCCTGAGTAGCTGAGGCTACAGGTATGCTCCACCACATCTGGCCACTGACTGTTGAACTTTAAGCCCTAATGAATTATTAGCAATTACTTACTATTTTGAACTGGTTGATTCTCTTGCACCAAAAGACAGATGGTCAAGACTTAGTAGCATGGTTTCCAAGAGGTGCTTACATCAACTGCTCTACTAATGCTTCTTCAGTCTGGCTTTATGGTATCCCACACAGCAAAAATACCTCATCTGTCTTCCCAGATTCCAAAAGAAAAAAAATTAAACATGCCAGTTACCCTGCCTATCAGTGGGGTCATCTGGATGTGGCAACCTGGTTCTGGGACTCCACATCACACTGACTAGGCACTTGCCCACAGCTGCTCTGCAATCATCCACCCTGAGTGAGGGCTCCATCTCCCAAGATCCATTAAAGTCTGCTGGCTCCACATATTTCACGGAACACACTACGCACACAGCAGTGTAGGGAAACAACTTTATAACCCAGTCATTTGCAATAAGAAAAATCAGTGCTATCCTTTGCATTTAAAAGTCTGAAAAAATTTAAATCTATATTAAGTCAGTAAGGTAATTAACAGTAAAACTAAATAATTGGCCAGAAGGAGTCTGTTGCAACTAGAGCCCTTTAAAACAAAGATATTTAAAACATTTCTTTTTCTCCTACCTGGATGTTGAAATACTGTACTAGTGCTTCAGAGAATAACTATATTAATAAAACAACAAGTTACAGATAAACATTTTAATTGATTAAATATATTATATTCAAGATCTTTTTGAAATCGCATTTGTACTGTACTAATCAAGAGCCAAAGGCAATAAAAAAAGTTTAAAACCAAAAATATTCTGACGTGAACACATGACAGGAACCGCTGCTATGTAAAGTAACATATACTGCTCCCAAGAACAATGATATTTTTAGGAGATAATTCATCTTAACATGTGCACGAACAAATTTGTAATCAAAGGCTGGAAGAAATATATATTAGTGCCTGCTTGTTAAAAGTTTATTTTACATTTTAAATACAGTATTTTTCTCATTTAAAAAAAAAATCCAGGAAGTGCCTAACTCCATGGTTTCTATACCATATGTACATGAGAGCTGACAGCCTGACAAATGTTCTAGATGTAACAGCATGAACACCTATGAGCTGGGACTACTTCTGAATCAAAATTTAAAAACACAAATTAAGCACTGCTTAAGAAAAAATAATCCAGTTTCTGAACAACCAAAAGAGAACAGTTAGATATGTACAAAACTAGGTATAAAAGACAGACAGAAAGAAAGCACACAAAAAACTCAAATTGCCCATATGTAGTGAACTGAAAATACTGCAGCTAGTCAGTGGAAATCCTCCTATAAGTGATTTATGAACAAAAGAAAAATAACAAAACCAAAACAAAACAAAAAGAAGTGATTTATGATTTAAAATTTTAGAAATCTAAGTATTTCAGTAACAACATAAGAATAACAACATTAAGTATATATTGCCATCTTTGTCATTTTCTATCTAGACCACTCTCCCTTCTGAAAACAAGAATCTCTAGACTAGCCAATCACTTATACAAATTTGAGGCAGTTAATCCATGTTTGTTTTCAGCAAGGAAAACAAAGGTATACCTCTTCCTGCCAATAAAGAAATAATACAAATTAAAGCTATCAAATTTAATCATGGGCATATGTATTTCCAATTCTCCTTAATAAGTAATTCCAAACTGGAATAAGTAGGGTCTGTGACTAGTAGTAACAAATTAAAAGAAAAAAGACTGTCTCTGGCAGTGATTTCCATATTAGTGCAATGTTACTTCCCATATGCTGAATTATATTTAAATGATCTTATTTTTAATTCAGTAGGGGCCAATTTGAATTTACAAAATCCCTAATTGTATTCTTTGTGCAGAAAAGTTTCAGTTTGAGATACTCTACGAAGCCAAATCAAAACGAAAAATCTGTATTTTGCTACTAGTAGTATGAATAACAAATAAAGATACAAGGATTCAAAGTTTGTGGAAGCTCCTGAAGAAAAATCTCTGAGGTGTTCTATGTATCCTGATACTTCAATTATCAATTCGTTTTGAACATTCTAGTTTAAGATTATCTCAGAAAATAATTCTCTGTAAGGTAACTCTGAACAAAACAGCTATACCCAAAGCAAAACCAATCTGGGTCATTCTGAACAAGATCAAACTGAGGCCATTTCTTTTTCTATTATAATCTGTGAGGTGAGGTCTTGAGTTTTTAAGTTTTAAAAATGACCTTTAATCAAAGCCAGCAGTACCTGGTATAGACTTATTAACTTAAGGATTTCAAACTAGAGGACACTGTAACTACGGGCTCTCATAAGACATATGGAGCAGGCAGCAAGGGACTAACCATCAGCCGGGTAAGGTCAACGTTGGGGTGTTTTATTTTGGAGACTTTAAATATTTAACATGTAGCTCATGTAACTTCAGCATCCACTAGTGACTCTGCTAGTCAGCACCCAAAGGCTGGATGAGTCTGAGGAATCTCTTTTAGCCCCAAACTCTGAATCCTAGAGTCTCAAGGAAATTTTGATTCCCAGCAAGAGTTCATAAACCATCAGATCAAAATCAATAAGGTAAACCCTGACTCTAATGCTCCACAAAAGTCAAAGGAAATTTCCAAATTAAATGCCATCCTCTGCCCCGAGACTCCAGACTCTGCAACACTTTTATCTAGTATAATAGACTCTGTAGTAGACTGATTTTGACCTCCACAAAGAGTAGGAATTGTCAAACTTGAGGAGATAGACTCCTCTCCCTGGATATTGGTGGCTGCCAGCATACACTTCCTCGTGACAGTCCCGTCGGTACACAGGCACGATCTCATCCAGTAGAGGCTTGTTGGCATTCTTTTTGGCTTTCTCTTCACAACTGATGTTTTCTGTAGAATACAGATAAATCAATGAACAGATTCAGGAAAAACAGATTCAGGAAAACCACACTTGCATCAAGCAATTAAAATCTATCCTTTAGGCTGGGCGCAGTGGCTCGCGCCTATAATCCCAGCACTTTGGGAGGCCGAGGCGGGTGGATCACAAGGTCAAGAGATCGAGACCATCCTGGTCAACATGGTGAAACCCCGTCTATACTAAAAATACAAAAAATTAGCTGGGCATGGTGGTGCGCATCTGTAGTCCCAGCTACTCAGGAGGCTGAGGCAGAAGAATTGCTTGAACCCAGAAGGCGGAGGTCGTGGTGAGCTGAGATTGTGCCATTGCACTCCAGTCTGGGTAACAACCGCAAAACTCCGTCTCAAAAAAAAAAAAAAAGTCTATCCTTTCTTTGAGAAACTGCTCTTGTTGGGAATTCTGTTGAACTATTCAACAAGTTATGTGCATTTATTTGTTCATTCATTCATTCACTCACTCATTCAAATACCTGATCACATGCTATATACCAAACCCTGTACTGGGCCCTTGGGAGCCCAGGGATGAACATCTTCTCATGGTAGCAGTGGTAAGCACAGAAAGAGATAGGATGCTGAACACATTTCTATTTCTAGGTCCCATTTTCCCCTTTCCGTATCTATTCAATTCCCAATTCATCCCCAGGAATCTCACTAATCTAAGTAACAAAATGTTGCTCTCATCATCCTTCTCCTGATCAATATGAGTCCTCCCCATTTTAGAAAGATGTAAGATGATTTGTGAGGACTACTGCTTTCTATGTATCTTAAATATAAGAAGTAAAATTTGAAAAATCATAGTAGAGAGATAGGCATTCAGAGACACTCTGAAAATTCAATTATTTTCACTAGGCCAGTTTAACCTAGAGATGATATCTAAGTGGCAAAAAATTAGCTCTGATTATAGGTTTGCCCTGGTTAATAGTTTTCTTAACTATTAGCTATGAGCTTAGAAAAAAAAAAACACCTCTAGAAACCTATAGGAATTTTGAAAATTATGAACCAGCTTTGAAGTCTCGGTTTAACTTATTTAATATAAACCACTTCAAAGAAAAGAGGTCGGCCGGGCGCGGTAGCTCACGCCTATAATCCCAGCACTTTGGGAGGCCGAGACAGGTGGATCATGAGGTCAAGAGATCGAGACCATCCTGGTCAACAAGGTGAAACCCCGTCTCTACTAAAAATACAAAAAATTAGCTGGGCATGGTGGTGCGTGCCTGTAATCCCAGCTACTCAGGAGGCTGAGGCAGGAGAATTGCCTGAACCCAGGAGGCAGAGGTTGCGGTCAGCCAAGATCGCACCATTGCACTCCAGCCTGGGTAACAAGAGTGAAACTCTGCCTCAAAAAGGAAAAGAAAAGAAAAGAGGTCAAGGGAGTATTCAGCATAGAAGCCAAGACTTTCAGGTTTATTTTTTTGTTTGTTTTTGTTTTTTCAAGAGGCTGGGACTATAGGCATGTATTTCGAGGTTTATTACATGGCAGAGTGAATTCTGGCAACACAAATTAACTGAGTGATGCTTGTCAATGGCCACTATCAGGAATTTAAAACAAGGGAAGTCTGAGAAATTCTCACAGTCTAGAGGAGATTAAGGAGATATGATGACTGACTACAATGTGGCATCCTGAAATGGATCTTGGAACATTAAGTAAAAACTAAAAACATCTGAATAAACATGGACTTTAGTTAATCCAATGTATCCATATTGTTTCATTGGCTGTGATGAGTGTACCACAGTACAATGTAAGATGCTAACAACAGCGGGAACCACTTGGTGCAGGGTATATGGGTACTCTTTGTACTGTCTTTTTAACTTTTCTGTAAATCTAAAACTACTTTAAAATTAAAAGTTAATTTTTAAAAAGCAGATGGCAGTCTTTTTTAGACAAAGTTTCACTCTTGCTACCCAGGCTGGAGTGCAATGGCGCGATCTCGGCTCACTGCAACCTCCACCTCCTGGGTTCAAGCAATTCTCCTGCCTCAGCCTCCCGAGTAGCTGGGATTACAGGCACGCGCCACCATGTCCAGCTAATTTTTGTATTTTTAGTAGAGACCGGGTTTCACCATGTTGACCAGGATGGTCTCGATCTCTTGACCTCATGATCCACCTGCCTTGGCCTCCCAAAGTGCTGGGATTATAGGTGTGAGCCACCGCGCCCGGCCGGCACTCTTATAAAGGTAGGTAGAAATCAGATTTACTTCACCACAGAAATACCTAAAATTAAGCATTTTTCACATGCAAATGAGAAACAGAGAACCATTCAAAATGTACACTATTGTTTACATCCAAGAAACAGACTGGTCCATTGATTCAAGACTCAAATTGTTCAAAATGTATAAAACTAAAGATTACTGGGATAGATGAAAAGGCACCTTTTATCAATTTAAGCAAAGATTTAGGACCTGTAAACAATAAAGAAAGTGGAGATTTAGAGCAGGCAAATGAATTATCATCCATGCTTCTTCAAGGAAAGCAAACTCCTCTGTCTACCTTTCAAGATCTAAGGAAGAAAAAAACCAACAAACAAAAACCCCAGATACTTCTACCATCTGAAATTAAGCCCAAAGGACTCCTCATAAAATGCCCATATGGACAAAACATGGTAGGACAGTAGCTTCTAAGGCATATGGACAAATACAATTTGTGAGCTAAATCTTTAAGTGGAATAAAGTTACACTCACTCAATGAACAATTCTTGCGAGTGATAAAGCCTCACTGCTATGAGGCTAAAACGTTTCAGCTGCAAATCATTTTATGATTAGAAATGGTAAAAGTATAGGCAATGCCATCTTTCATTGGAGGGACATACTAGAGCTAAGATAAGGGATATTAAGGTTCTCACCTCTAGAAATGGACCCCTGCCATTTTCACCAGTGCTCTTCTCAAAACCAATAACCCTAAAACTACCATCAGCTAAGGGTTCAAACTAGGCAGTAACCGCCGTATAGAAGTTCTCTAGTAGGCAAGCCAGGAGAAATACATTAACTCAACCAATTTCTGAACAGAGAATTCTTATTCACAAAGCTTTCTTTTTTGTGGGGAGGGGTGGGCCGGTGGTCTGGCTCTGTCACCCAGGCTGGAATGCAATGGCACAATCTCAGCTCATTGCAACTTCCACCTCCCAGGTTTAAGCAATTCATCTGCCTCAGCCTCCTGGGTACCTGGGATTACAGATGCACACCACCGTGACTGGCTAATTTTTGTACTTTTAGTAGAGACGAGGTTTTACCATGTTGGCCAGGCTGGTCTTGAACGCCTGACCTCTGTCTCCCAAAGTGCTGGGATTACAGGCATAAGCCACTGCACCCAGCCATCTTTTTTGTGTGTGACATGGGGGTCTGGCTCTGTGGCCCAGGCTAGAGTGAAGTGACGTGATCTCAGCTCACTGCAACCTCTACCTCCTAGGCTCAAGCAATCCTCCCACCTCAGCCTCCCAAGTAGCTGGAACTACAGGTATGCACCACCACACCCAGCTAATTTTTTGTATTTTTGGTAGAGACAGGGTTTTACCATGTTACCCAGGCTGGTCTTGAACTCCTGAGCTCAAACAATCCAACTGCTTTGGCCTCCCAAAGTTCTGAGATTACAGGCAAGGGCCACCATGCCTGACCTCACAAAGCTCTTTGTAAGTACAGTAATTTGTACACATACAAAAAACTTTCCTTCCCAGACATCTGCAAAGAGTCTGACTCTAACGAGTCTCTGTGATACAACAGAAAGGACAGAACAGTCTTGACGTTGTTGAGGATCACATTGAGATCACATCCTTGACGTTGTTGAGACAGCAGTAGTGGCTCCTGGCCAATCTGCTACAGTCCTGCTCTCTCACCCCTTCGTTTATGGGTTTTTTTTTTTTTTCATTTTTAGAGGGAGGGCCTAGCTCTGTGGCTCAGGCTGAAATGCAGTGGCGTGATCACATAGCTCACTTCAGCCTCAAACTCCTGGGCTCAAGCAATCCTCTTGCCTCAGCCTCCCAAGTACCTGGGACTACACCCAGCTAACTAAAAAAAAGTTTTTTTGTAGAGATTAGTTGTCACTCTACAAAATGGGTTGCCCAGGGTGGTCTTAAACTTCTGGCCTCAAGAGATCTTCCTTCTTTGGCCTCCCCAAAAGCTGGGATTATAGACATAAGCCACCTTGCCCAGCCATGCTTTTTCAATGCTAACATTTTTTATTCCTGTTTCAGTCAGTAGTATTTATGGGCAATGCTTTACCTCGCTGGTGGTATCAGGAATAAAGATTGATGAAAACAAAATGCCATGGAAGACAAAGCAGTTCATGCTCCATATTTACCAGCTAGAATCTGGACCTGTAGTATAATGAAGGATTTTAAATCTGCTTCTGGGGTGAGAGTCAACCTGCAAGATGTACTGAAATTTCTTGGATACTCTGATAGTTCATATAGGTAATGGCACAGAGTCAACTTTGGACTATCTTTTGACTAGCATTAAATTAAATACTAACTGCTAAATTGAATATTAAACCTAATTTCAAGAGATGTTATGGCACACCGCTGTGTCTGTTTCTG